GGCTTGCCCCCCCCCCCCCGCCCCCCCCCCCCCCCCCACACGCACACACACAGGAAGTGAGGGCAGGCTAGGGTGTTCCCTAAAGCTGCCGAGCTGGGCACAGTTGGGTTCTCACTCTCCGGCTCCTTGTGCACAGTTCTCAGTGGGGCTTCAACGTCAGGATTCCGCCCACTTTGTCAAGATAGGCACGTCTTGCCACATAGCTTGCGTTCTGCACAAGGGCTTCTGGCCCAGGGGACAAGTGGGTCCTGGGGAGGGGCTGAACATGGGACCTCTGACTAATTTGTACAAGGCACATAGACAGGTGTGCCTGCCTTTGGTCCATTTCTCTCCTTCCTATCCTGACCACCTCTGTGTGGAAGGTTCTTTTTCCCCAAATCCTGCATTGAGTCACCTCTTCACACTTGTTTCTAGACCCAGACACTTTCAGCTGGAGGATTCTGACTCCTCACTGTTAGGGCTGAGGAGAGGCTGACGGAGACGCAGAAGGCAGGAGATGGGAGCTTCTCACTAACAGCCTTGTGGGAAAGAGGTGAAGGAGTCAGGTGGGACCTTGGAAGGGCCGGGACACAGGGCTGAGGCTTACGGGTTAGTGTGGAGGGGCTAAGCCAAAGCGCTCACTCGGAATCACCCCGCATTTGGTAAGGGGGTCCTAGGGGGAGACAAGACATCTCCCTGGGTTTAAGTGAGTGTGTGCTGGGGCTTGGGGCTGTGTACAGCCCCACTGACACACCCTCGCCAACTAATTCCTTAGGCATCTCTCATATGATCAAAACACCTGCTTGAGGGTGGTGACTATGTGAGGGTTCACTATACAAAAATTCATCAGGCTGTATGCTGTACTGTATGGTGTGTATGCGACACTTCAACTCAACAGGAAAAATCAGAGCCCCCTCCGTACCACTTGGGGGCCAGTTTGGTTCACCTGAAGGGCTCCGCCACCAGGTTTGATTCAGCAGGTAGAAGGGGGCAAGAATTTGCATTTTCCTCCGCCATCCTGATGCATCCAGTCAGAACCACACTTTGAGAATCATCAGCCTAGAGTTTTCCAGGTAGAGTGAAGCTAGGTTACAATTAATAAGTATTTCCAGTAAACTGCCCAAAGAGACCCCTGTCAAAAGCAACATAAATCTCTGAGGCGCCAATAATTTGCTGCAATTTCTTTTCCATTCTAAATACGTTAACTCTTGAATAATATGGCTTTGAACTGCGTGGGTCCACTCATGCGCAGATTTTTTCCAATAAATACAGTAAATGTATTTTTTCTTCCTTATGATTTTATCGACATTTCCTCTAGCTTACTTTATTATGAGAATACAGCATATAATACATACAACATACAAAATACGTGTTACCAGTAAGGCTTCCGGTCATCAGTGGGCCCCTTATCACCTGTGGAGTCCCAGTCACGGATCAGAAATACTGTTTGGACCCACAGTTGGTTGAATCCGCAGATGCGAAACCCTAGGATACGAAGGGCCTATTGCAGTTAAGTTTTTGGTGATTCAAAAGTTATATGTGGATTTTGGACTTCGCAGTGGGGTCGGTGCCCCTAACCCCAATGTTGTTTGAGGGTCAACTGTTTTCACTTTCATACCTAATTTTTCATTCACTTTTATTTTTTTTTATACCCCGCCCCACCACCAAATTGTATAAATTTCGGGCCCCACACACCAGCCTTGTGACTGGTCATAAGATATCTGTTAAGTCCTTCTGTGAATAAGCCCTGTGCAGGGGGTTGGAGGAGCAGTGTCCTCCAGGTAAGGAAGGAATCAAATGGGGCGCAGGGCCTACATGGTGTGGTTGTCTCCTGCCAGCAGCCCCTCCTCTGTGCTGTCTGATACAGCAGCCCAGTAAGTTCCATGTGGCTGCTCCTGCACTCCCAGAGATCAAGTGAGTTGCCCAAGGCTAAGGACCAACTTCCAACAAATCAGGCTCCCCATTTTCCCCCAAGGGCACCTCTCTTCTTCAGTCTCTGGAACTGGTTGGTAGCACAGCTGGGAGGCTTGATGTGACATCTCTGAGGGGCAGGTCTGCAGATGCTCTATCCTAGCTCCCCTCCCCTATAGTTCCCAGACTCCTCTGAAGAAGGCCGGGACTGACCAAATCCTTTCTTGCCTGCCCCCTCCCTAACCCCAGGATCCTACAAAGTGGCATGGAAGTCCAGTGGGCAGCACCCACTCTCGGTTAGATGGGGTTCAGTGGGCCCTTGGGGATGGTCCAGCACTCCTGCCTGGACCCCAGACCAGCCACACTTTCCCCTCCTCGATGGACCTCTCTCCTGCCTCTCAAATTCACACCCAAAGTAAGCAGCAGCCCTAGCCAGGTTTGGCTTCTCATCACCTTTATTCACCTCTCACCACCTGATGCTGCCAGCAGGCAGGGATTGACCAGGGGCTGGAGGACCCCAACATGAAAGGAGAATCTGAGGCACGGGGCTCCCTGAGAACATAGGAGAGGAGGCAGGGCCCGGGGAAGGTGAGGCAGGGCCCCTGAGACCCAAGAGCACATGTGGGCCAGTGCTGGCTGGAAAAGAGGCTGTGGTGCCTGCAGCTGTGTGAGACTTGGCCCCAGTGCCTGGGAGAAGGCAGGGACGAGGAGGGGTTGCATCCTACTGGGAATGAGGCCTCCCTTTTCTGGGAGCAGGACCCTGGCCGAAAGCATGAGACGGACTGAGACATGGCCGACTGAAGAGAGCCTCGATACTCCCCGTGCCAAAAGCAGCTCGGGGAATAGTGCAAGTGTTTCAGGACTCTGCCTTCAGTTGCAGCTCAAAAACCTGCAGTCTGGCTGGCATGAAGGCGGTGCCACAATTCTCCTGGAGGGAGAGGTGGGAGACAGAGCTTCTGGCAGAGGAAGATAGTTGGAGAGCTACGGCAGCCAGACCCCAAGATCGGGCTGCTGGTTAGGGAAGTGGCCTGGCCTCTGGACCCTTAGCGTCGGTGGCTCAACACCCCATGCAGCCTGAGGTAGGGATGAGGGTCTGGGGTACACACACCCCTCCCAGGGTAGGAGAGGGCAGTGACAGGACAGTACTACTCGTCCATCCCCAGGCTGCTCCAAGAGGAGAATGTAACCAGCCTACTAACCCACTTTGGGACTGGGCACATCTAGTGCAAGTGAGGCCCAGAAAAGGGATGTACTTTATTAAAAAATACAGAGAAAGTTCACATAACCTATGTAATCTGGCCTCCAGGGTCAGTGCAGGTCTGTGGAGTGGGCCAGGTGATGGCCAAGTCCCCTCTCTATCCCACCCAGGCCTCTCCTGCATGGCTACCAGAAGACTTCCCAGGAAGAAGGGACCAGCCCTGAGCAGTGAGAGTGAGAGGGGCCCTGGCTCTAGTTGGGTGCACAGAAAGGCAGTGCCTATATCTTGGCCGGGGCACACTGCCTAAAAATGAACCCCATCCTGAAATGATCCAAACCAAACAGAAACTTGACCAAAACGATCAAGTCTCCTGGTGATGCATGCCACACGCTCACGCACACACACACACTCCCCTACCCATGTGCACAATGCATACTCTCACCTGTTTTCAGTCACGGGTTGTGCACACACGGGTGGACATACACAGATGCACACACACATGCACATGTGCATACGCGCATGAACGCAGGCACACCCCATGCTCAAACACCCATCTCCCACCCAACAGAGCACCGGTGGCTGGTGCCAGGGACTCAGTGTCGGCTGCTGACATGGAGGGTGTAGAAGGCCCAGGGCTCAGGGACATAGATGACGCCGGGGTACTTCTTCCTGAGTACAGGGTCATTCCATAGCCAGGTGACCCAGAGGGCCACAAGGAGGAGGGTGAGGGCGAAGGAGTAGAAGAGGAAGAGGCCGTTACTGTCCATGAAGAGGCGCTTGCGCTTCTGGTGCAGGACGAGGGCCAGCATGGCGAAGAAGGTGAAGATGAAGAGGATGAAGATCTGGCCCTCTGTGACCAGGTACCTGAAAAGGCCGGTGAGTGAGGGGAGGCGGAGGCCATGGCGGCCCTGTCCAGCCCTGCATCCCTCCCTCCACCCAGGTATCAGGCTGCCCTCCACTCAATCGGAACTGCTCATCTGCTGAGAGGGCTCAGGGAACCACGCCACTCTGAGCCACAACCCATATGCAGCATATTGATTGGACTTGGATAGTTACTATTTTTAAAAATGTTGAGTTTGTTGCCAATATTTAAATAACAAAGTACCTGAATATGTGGATTTCTGGTTTCTCTGGTCACATTAGACCTGTATTCCCACATGACAACAACTGATGAGAGGAGAGAGCAGCTGCCCCATTGAGACAGACGATGGTTCTACGGTTTGCCACAGTCCTCACCATTTCCTGTTGTCTCACTTGACGTCTACTTGATGCATTTCTGTTACCAGCTTGGCTCCTCTAGGCCTTTTGAGTTTGGGAATGCAGTTGCAACTTATGGGGGTTGTCATTAATGCCTCGGTGAAGGCTGGAACACAGTCTCAGATCTCCCGGGGCTCCCTGCAGCTCCCAAGGCAGCACCGAGCCCATGGCCAGGAACTCAGTGACACTGGTTGGAGGGCTTCTGAGAGCTTATCCGATCCACTCCTCTGCCTCTAGAAAGAATGGCAATGCTGGCCCACTCCACTTAAGGACCTATAGTTCTGCAGCTCTGTGATCATGGGGAATTTACACGATGTCTTGGAGCCTATGTTTTCTTACTCATACAGCGGGCATCGATGGCCCTATATCTCAAGGTTACTGACAGGAGTAATCGTTCAGCAAACGGTTGCTGCTACTGTTGGAGCTATGCCTGCACTAACGTGCTCCGGGTAAGAACTGGGCAGGAAGCCCTTTCCTACGTCTAAC